AAAGGGGAAGCATTTTTGTAAAAAAAAAAAAAAAAAAAAAAGGCCACATCAAACATCTCCACATGAATGACCTAAGAGGCAAGTCAAGAAAGGCAGATTTGAAAGATGACTCTTGGCATCATTGACGTAGTCTACCCACAAACTGTCCAATCAGCACATACCCAGTGTCAGGCACACTTCCAAGCACTTTCTGTGGATAAACTTCATGTAATCGTCACAGAAGCCTTATGGGATAGCTGCCGTAGGTGGCAATGCCCCTCTTTGAACCCAGGCAGTCTGCTGCCAGACCGTGCCCTTTTGTTAATTGTAACTTTCTTACAACAACCTGGCCCAGAGGCTCTGGCACTCCATCTAATAGCATAGTGATAGCTCCATTCATTGTTGAATGGCTCACAGGTCTTCTAAAGGACAATAGGAAGAAAAAGTTATTATGGGATGTTATTATAAAGAACAAACCTCACCCTTGTGGATAAGTCTGCCACTGATCTTTACAGTTCCAAGAGGGTTTCCAGCCCCCAGGCCAGCTCTCTTCACTCAGAGGCAACCCCAGAGCAGGAACTAGAAATAGCAGCACAAAGCTGCTAGTGTCCGAGGGTGGGGTGGGGGTGGGGTCATCTGCCTTTACCAGGAATCTTCTAGACCACTCAAGAAAGCCTGATAAGTATGTCTTCTGTGATCTCTTCAAGATGGAGCACTGGAAAATTGACCTTTTTTTTTTCAATCTAGAAGAGCTACAGTTAAGTTTATTTATTTGTTGAGATCAGGCTATGCCTGCTCTAAGTTACTCCATATTGTGCAAAACAGTGTTTTTTCAGACTGTGCCTTGACCTAAAAGACTGTATTTCACAAGCAACTTTTGATTCCATTTTGAGGATGGAGGACAGCTCTGCACCTGGGGGGACACATGAACAGCACCATCTATGTCTAGCACCACTGACATGGCACAAGACTGATAAATGATTATTCTTCGGAGTAGAAAGGGTACCACCCTATAAATTCATCAGCTAAACTAAGACTATAGGGGCACATGGGCATATTAAAATTATATCAGGAAAGCCAGGCCCCAGATTTTATCAGACAAGTCAGACCAAAGAAAGGATATCACTCTCTCACCTAGACCCCATGAATTTATGGGCACCTAGCATTGCAATGGTAACAGCCCTACCCACCTGTCATCTGACAACCTAGTGTGTGCAGCAAGGACCCAGAGGCAGAGAACTTCTGACCACCCCAGGGGCTTTGGCTTGACTTAGTTTCCACTATTAATGTGGCCTACTGGAATTGCTGTCTGCCTGTCCTGTTCACCTGCCTGAACCTGCTGCCCATCTGTCCACCCTTTCTTTCATCTGAACCTGCATCCTGTCCTTTTGCTTTTGCAGCTGACTGAATTCTAAGGCTCAGCTGACTCTCCAGTTCAGCCACAGTGACTTCTGGGGCTTGACTGGGTTAGTTAGATGTCTATCTACCTCATCCCATAGACTGCATTTCTAGCAGCTCCCCTGCTTCTTGGAATTTCCGAGACCTCTTGAACCCTTCTGTAGCCTCTTAATCCTTTTAGTCACTCTATAACCTACTGTTGATATTAAAAAGCACAGCTCTCATCTCAAAGGGCACAAGTGATAGGTTATTCCGGAGCCAAGTAAGAGTGATCAAGGCCTGGGAATTTATCCCAAATTCAGTATCCCAACATGGTAACAATTCCACGAACAAATTTTATAGTAACACACACACAAAAGAAGTCATAAATCAAAACACTTTTCAAAGACATTGGAAACATCAAGTAGATGGATTCTAGCCAAGCAGGGAAACTTCTGCTAGAGATTTCAGATGACATCTGGTAGCATTCTTGGGTTTTGGGTTGGTGCAAGCCCTCGGTCCACTCAATGATGAGGACAGGGTGTAGATGTTGGTTAGGCAGTTTAGGAACAGAGACTCTGGAAGTGAACAATTTTGTTCTTGTCCTTGGCCAGAAGCAAGAAATGTCCTTGGTTCTCAGACTAGGAATGCCAGAGGAGTTTAAATGATTCTAGTCATTTAAGAAGGGGAATGTTCCAGGAGTCTTCGAGGCTATTGAGGATGAACTCCCTCGTAGGTAGAGACATGACTCTCTGATCTATTCCAAAGATCTATTGTCTCCTCCCTTAAGAGCTAATCCAGCTAGGCCTGTCAATCACCTCGCCAAGAGACCACCCCCCACCCCCAGGAAGGCTGATTTACCTAAAGCTAAAGACATGAGAGGAATAAATATCCTTTAATGAGATAACTTCTCTACCCCAAAACTGTCGTCAGCGCTGCCACTTTTAGAGAGCCATCTCTGTGCAGCTCTGCCAAGCCTGCCCAGTTTCCTGAGTTGTAACTCACAAAACTTTCCTTTTCTTCTTTTCTATCTCTTCCAGGTACTAGTGAAGGCCCAAGCATGTTTTCTCTGATACTATGAAAGTGCCATTCCTTCTCTGAAGCAAACTCCCTTCCATGAGGCTACTTGTTGACTTCCAAGGCTGAGCACATCAGGCCTAACTCAGATGGCATGCTTTTTCTTCCTCCTTTTCTCCATCTTCCTCCTCCCAGTAGCTGCTGAGATTTATAGCTTGCCTACCCTGTTGTTTTCTCTCAAACGTTCATAAAATGGTCCTCAAACTTCCTACTGAATACAAAAGCACTTACTGGTCCTCTTCTCAGGACCTGGGAGTGTGGTGTCCTTCTGCCTGCAATGCATACCAGATCCTTCCCAAGCCCTGTGGCACTCAAGCCAAAACTCATCTCCCTAAAACTTCCCACCCCATCTTAGTTATAAATGTCTCTCGTCACTCTTTCTTGTAATAGTTTTTCTTCCAAAGCACTCTTTACAATATTTCAATGACTTACTGGAGGATTTGTTTATTGGGTATCTTCCCTTCCCATCAGATAGTCAGCCCCTTGAGGGCAGGATCACACTGGTATACAGATGTTGGCCCATGTAAGTAAGCTGCATATATTTAGTAACTCACTGCATGAACTAATGAATGAGAGCATGATATTGCTCTGGGCCTGAAAAAGCTGTCTTGACAGACCTTGACAGACCATTCACCTTCCACTCCCACAGCCAAGAAACCAGTGAACCTCCACACTGTCCACGATGGGGCCGTGCACACTGTTCAGAGGTCACCTTTCTACAACGACATCATCCTCACCATTGGGGGATGGAATGTGGCCATCTGGAAAGAAGAAATTATGGTAAGTTGCCTACAAAAACAGAGCAGTGGGTGTGTGGTTTCTTTGTTATTGAGAAAGACAATAGAAATAACAGCCTGTTCCAGCATATCGTGCCTTTGGGGTACTTTATGGAGAAATTGGAACAGATGGTCCAGGCTCCAGCTTGTCAGCAGAACGTACAGTCACAAGCCTTTTGAAAACAGTTGTTTGCTTTTCTTTCCAGAGGAGAAGTAAATAAATTAACAAAACCCCTGTTCTCTGAAACCTAACAGTATTTTTTTCTTGGGCAGTTGATCTGGGTTGAATTTTGCCTTCCTATAAAGTAGAAGATGGGATTCTGCTTACTAGATGAAGTCCAAAGAGGCACTGGGCCTGTCAACTTTTCTTCTGTACCAGGAATGTTGGCAGATACAGAAAGTGGTAGTGTGGGGGCTGAGGGTCCAGGGCAGCAGGTGGAGCACAGCCTGTCCAGACGTGTGTGTACGTGTGTGTGTGTGTGTGTGTGCGTGTGTGTGTGTGTGTGTGCGGTGGCTGCAATATATTTTTACCAGATTACTACCTTTAAGATCTCTAATTTATAAAAGTAACAGAAATGTGTACCAACATTTCTATGAATGTGTCACTGAAAAAAATTAGAAGCTACTTAAATCGTCACCAACAGACATCTACTTTATTTCAATATACTTCAGTATATCTAATTCTTTTCTGATGAGGAAGTTTTGTTGGGCATGGTGATGAACGCCTCTAATCCCAGCACTCAAGAGGCAAAGGCAGGCGCATCTCTATGAATTCAAGGCCAGCCTGGTCTACATAGTGAGTTCCAGGCCAGCCAGAGACATAGTGAGACCCTGTCTCAAAAATTGAAAAAAGAAAAAAAAAGAGAGTAAGTTTTATAATTAGGAAAAGAAAACAAAAGACTTAACAGGAGCCAAGAACCTGGTTTCCCCCAGAAAATGAAGTGGGCAAAAAAGGCTTGAAGGGCCACCTAAGTGAGGTCAGGAGTCCAGCATTCCTCTTCCCTCATGGGGGAGTTTTCTATGCATGGTTTGGCTGGTGAGAAAGAGCTCCGTGGTTTGGTTTAGTCAAATGTAAGTACATTCTTGGACATACCTCGTAAGTCGTAAGTTTACGGACCCCGCCAGCAGGTAGAGAGCACATTCCAATCTCTTTCCTCTTTGAAAACCTCTCAAAATTAACAAATTATCTCCTGGTAGAGGAAACAAAGACAATGATTCCACGACACTTTGGTGGTCTAAAGTCTCTTCCAAATGTGTCTCACTGCAGTTATTTACTGAGTTTGCTGGCTCTGCTGCTGATTTTCAACATGCAGCTCACAGCTGGAATTGGTTGCTGTATAGTCACTTCTGCAGAGCTGTCATGAAAAGGCCCGAGATTATAACTCAGATCTGGTCTGTGGATGCATGGTTCCATGGATTCTGGGCCCATGCTAAGACAGAACATTACAGAAACATGGCATGTGGAAGAGGCTGTTCACCTCATGGTATACAGGAGGCAGAGGTATAGGAAGGACCAGGGACCAAGTATAACCTTCAAAGACATGACCTACCTCATCCACCTAGGCCTCAGTTCTTGAAGCTTCCAGAAACTCCCAAAAGATTGCCATCAGCTAGAAACCAAACCTTCAACACATCAGCCTGTGGGAGATAATTAATATTCAAACCACAACAGACTTTTCATTTGCTTTTTATGGCTGCCAGAACTGTTTCCATGGGCAGAAGATATCTGAAAACCAAATAAAGGTGTAGGCAAAATTTCTCTACAACTTTCACTTATAGCTATTGTTCACAGATCTTCACGGAAATAACCGATTAAGAAACAGTCCTAAGAATCTGCAGAGTGTGGGTCCTTGGACAAAATTCCTATATTAAACTCCACCCATTCAGGGCTCAGGGACCACTGAGGGGGTGGAAAGATTTTAAGTGCGAGGGAGGAGGTATATGACCATATGCAAATAAGAGTCTTACAGGTTCCTGGGACCTTGCTCATATGAACCTACAGCAATGGTGTCACCATGCACAGGACCCAAGCACACAAAAACCCACTACAGAACTGTGGAAATGAGCAGCAGGCCCCAATCTTACCCAAAGAACTATTGGTAGCTGATTACTGCTGGGTGAGGAAGAGCTGATCTTCTTAAAGGGAGGGACTCTATAGATAGGCTGACTAGACCTCAGCAGATGAACTTGCACTGAGGGACATCTGGGGACACTAACTTGACTCAATAGGCCATAACACAAATAACAGAACGCATCAATTCCATGGGGGGTGGGGGGCTATGGGAGGTGCCAATGGGGAAGGGAGTATAAAGATGATTAAGATTTTCTGTATGAAATACACAAAATTCAATAACAAAATTCACATACACATACACAAAATAGAAGCAGTTTGGTTACTAGGGTCATCATCTCAACTGGAAGGTTTGATCTTTTGGGGGGGGTTGATCTTTTATGAAAAGCAAATAAAACAAGAAATAAAATTTATTTAACAACAAATTGGAGAGAAAATATCTTGTTCTATATAAAAATCCAGCGATAGGGCCAGCAAGATGTCCCAGCAGCACTTGCTGTCCAAACTGTAGCAGCTTTATGAACTGAATTCAAGGCCTCAGAACCCATGTGAAGGAGAAAACCAACTCCACAAAGCTGTTCTCTGACTTCCACACAGGTATTGTGATACACACACACACACACACACACACACACACACACACACACACCACACACACACAAAAAAAAAAATGTTGAACCTTGGGG